ATATATATATGCTTCATAGTTCTCTGGCTTTTTTCTGTTTAAACTTAAACATCTACTAATTATAGTACAGGCGTCTCTTCAGTCCTTGGAGTTCTTTTTGCTTGGCTCATTCTGAGTTATCATTTTTACATTCTAACACACTCAGCCTCCTTTGTAGAGTCCTTCTCAATTATTGTTCTAACAAAACTCATCCATCTTAATTTCACTTGCCCTTCAGTGTTTCATTTTCTTACCTCCTACTGTCCCCAAGGCACTTTTCTCCTGTATTTTTTGAATGAAAGATGCTTGTTTTCTCAGTTGACCTCATCTCTCACTTTGCAGTTAATTAATACAAGGCTGCATAGAATGAATTTCTTCATCTTATTCCTTCCTTGCACACCTACTAGTATCTGAACTCATTCTGCTTCAACTTTGTTTTAGAGATACTAACTTCTGAGTCAGCACTGTCTCCTCAGTCTTTGTTCTTGTATTTTTTATCTTTTATTTCTTTTATTTCTTCCTTTTAGCTGGAAATATATTCAGTTCTCATCCTCCCTTAAAACCTTTCCTCCCTTTAGTCTCATTGTCCTTAATCTTTATCACACCTATTTACTATATCATGTTGAGTCTTCCTAAATATCCTGGTTTCTTGAGTGTCAGTGCTAATGACTCAATTCCGACTATCCCTCAAGCTATCTGTTCTTATGTTCATTGAATCATGGCCCTAAACTCTATTTTAACTCATAGTATTAAAATTATGTGCTCCATTTATTTATGCAGAGTATGTAGTATGTACCACATATTTATTGGTTTTCATCATTTCTTTCTTAAGTATCTGGTAGCATTGTATCATATGCATGAATCCACCTGACAGAACTGAACAAATAATAAAAGGCAAAACAAGTAACTTGGACTTTCTGTGTACTCGGTGAATGTTTACCTGTAGGCAATAGGTGTCAGACAATGCATAACTGGACACTCTTCAGTTAGAGTACTAATGGCTTCTCAACTTTGACAAAAATATGAAACATTTCATATTGTCAGTTATGTGAACAGTGTGTATGTATTTTTTATTGTTCGAAAAGAAGCTGAAGATTAAATTAATCAAAAGACAGACGTAGTGTCTGGCAGATAAATAGATAATGTCAGTGTATATAATGAATTATGATAGACTGAGGAATATTCAAGGGTAATAATGATACCTACTATTTTTGCCTAATTGATCTTTGATCTTAACAGTTCTTTTGACCTCACCAAATGAGCTCATCCCAACCTAAGATTTGATCATTGTTTGCCAAAATGGACAAAATTAAACATTGAGAGTTTGTTGCTTATTTATATCGTAATTCATCAAAAGAGGCGATAGTAACTAAAACACCTAAAAGAATTAATTTGGGGCTAAAGATCACTTTAGTACTAATGTTCACTCTGCATGACATCTTTAAATTACTTGATTAGTTACCTTTCCCAGTTTGATATTTTCCCCCCATGACTTACTGCCACTCTCATATAGAATGATCATCTTGAAACTTTTTGCTCTTTCTTTCATCACTATGAAACTTTCTGATTTACCTTATTTACCGACTTTTAGGTTGATGTTTACATTTTATAATTTAAGCAGTTGCAAAGAGTATATTTTCAGTTGTATATTAAAATGACAAAATAATTAAATGCTTTTTATAATCATTAGAATCTTGATACCATTAATTTATTTTAAAAATAAACATGGGCTAGTGGTGAGATGCAGTTGTAGAGCATGTGCTTAACGTGCACAATATCGTGGGTTCAATCCCCAGTACTTCCCTCTCCCCAAATATATAGATAGATAAATATATGTGGATAGATATAGACACAAACGTTTAAACACCAGAAATTTTATAGTATCCCTCCTTCACCTTTTACTTATTCTAATATTCCTACAGATTTTTATCATAATATATTTTACATTTGACAGCCTTGTATTCATCACTCCATCAGTACTTTTGTAACAAAAATTAATAGAAAAGAACTTTAAAATGTCTATTTTATAGCTCAGAAGTACTGATGGAATGATGAATACAAGGCTGTCAAATGTAAAATTATTACGATAAAAATGGAATATTACTCAGCCATAAAGAATGAGAAAATAGATTCATTCATAGGAAAATGGATACATATTGAAGATATACTCCTAAGTGAAATAAATAAGTCACACGTGTAAATACCGAATAGTTTCCCTGGTGTGAATAATCTGCAATAATACATAAGATCCTAATAAGATTACTGACATCTAGAAATGGGAAGAAAGGAGCTAAAGGTGTAGGGAAGGTGGGATGGGTAGGGGAAGGGTAATAAGGGAAAAGAAAAAAATGTGAGATAATGATAAGATGAAAATAAAGTGTTTGTAGATGGGGAGGGGAGGAGGGGGTGAAGGGAGGGCAGGGGTGAGGGGAAAAATGAGAATCAAGACCTGCCATGTAGAGGTACAAGATCCCAACAATGAATGTAACTGTACTGTATCCCTAAATGTACCAATAAACTCAATTAAAGCTGAAAAAAAAAAGTTTTCCTAATACTATATCAAATAGGTTTTTCCCTGGTGGCACACAACTGTAATCCCAACACTCTAGAGGCTGAGGGGGATTGCTATTAGTTTAAGGCTGTCCTGGGCTTCATAGTGCGTTCAAGGCCAGCCTGAACTACATAGCATGACCCTGTCTCAAAAAACGTTTTAAAAATAAATTATGAATTTATCTTTTATAAATATATTTCTATTTTCTATCATATTATATTTTTATATTTTATTTATATGAATATATATTAAATTAAAAGTAAAATTTATTGAAAGTACATGTCTTAGTGATATAAATGTGACTTTTTTCACCTAATTCTTTAGAAACTCTTAATCCTAGTATATCTGTACATGAACATTATTTATTGCTAGAATGAAACTAATCAATGTCAGTTCTATTCTTATTTTCTCTATTTTTAAATAAGAGTTGAAACATTTGTTCACATTAATAAATGGAGAATAGAATTTCTAACTCCTTGAACATCCTCATAATTATCCAGAAAATTTTAAAGCTTTTTTTAATGCTCATCTGATAACTAGAGTTTGCCCTTCTTTTTGTTAAAATCAAAGAATTATCAAGTACCTGATTTGTGAGGATATTTGTTATCCACTATCTAATACATTTTGTTTTTGAAAAGATACTTAAAAAGATACTAATGATATGACTATAAATAGAAAGATATTAATGAGATATGACTATAAATAATATTTGTACTCTTTTGCTTAGTAGTACTGAGTTAGGATAAAAGAAATAAAGAATGTAGGAGGAGACATCGGGGCCGGGGATTTAGCTCAGTGGTGCTGCCGCCTGCCTCACAAGCTTAGGGTCCTGAATTTGATTTTCAGTAAAAAAAAAAAAAAGAATGTAGGAATGGAGACAAAATAAAATCATAACTTATAAATTGTACTTTTAAGAAGACTGCAACTTTAGGGCACAGTACCCAAGGTTATTCATATCTATACCTCCCTGTCTTTGTTTATTCTTCTTTACAGGCCAATCACACCCAAAATATACCTAAATATATTATTAGTCTATAAATTTGCTCAGTAGGTAAGATAAAGGGCAGAAAACAGATCTTAGAGAAACATACAAAGGTTTCACAGAACAGTTTTCTGGTAGAATATTGTAGATCACACATCTTATACACACACGCACACACACGAAACTGTGCCCTGCCTTTCCCCAGTGAAATGGGCTATCCAGAGGCTGAGGCAGGAGTTCAAGACCAGCCTTGGCTTCACATGAGTTCAAGGTCAGTTTGGGTAGTGAGACCCTGCCTGAAGCCCCCTCCTCCATATAAATAGATAGGCCATCCCTTTACCTGTAAAATGAGCCATTAATCTTTCTCTCTAAGGGTGAGTCATCACCCTTTCCCTCTCAACCAAGCCCAAACTTTCCATAGATTCACAAATTTCACAGATTCTAACCACTGAAAACACAGGAATCTTTTCAGCTCCAGAGTGTAATTTCTCTTGCTCGCTTCCTCCCCTTCATACTTTTTAGTATATACTTTAAAGATTCTACTTAATAAAATACCTTTATACCTCTTACCGACTCATCCTACAAATTCTTCTCTGGTTAGAGCCAGAGAACCTCCACCCCATCACATCGGTGGAATGAATCGAGGCTCCCCATCTCTGTTCTAGGGACCTCCTTGTATCCTGTTCAGTGATAGTACATATTCTGTGAGACTGATATGTTCAAGAAGTTTTAGCATAATGCTTAATGTGCATCAGAATCTACTGATGGGCATACTTAAAGAATAGGTTTCTGGGCTCCATTACCTTGAGTTTCCCACTCAAGTGGGATCTGATAATCTTAATTTCTAGCACATTTTTTGGGGGGGATACTGGGGATTAAAATCAGGTCTTCGTACTTGCAAGGCAGGTGGGGGAACCACTGAACTAAATCCCCAGCCCTCTAGCACATTCTTATGAGATGCTGATTCTTCAGGTCCAGAGACTATATTTTGAGGACAACTGGGTTAGGGAAATTGAAGTATTACTCATTTAAAGACCAGTAGAGTGTTTATAAACCCTTTTTATCATGGGCTTAGAATACATTTTTTTTTAAATCTTGGCCTTGCAGATTTACCTCATTCAACATATGAAAAATGCTGCAGAACTTGTTAAAGCTAGTTTTAAGGGGCTTTGTATTTTAGTGCTAGGGATTGAACCATGTGCTTTACACATGCTTAAAACACTTTGTCTGCTTTGTAGATGTGTCCCCAACCCAATAATTTTAATTTTCAAAGGTCTAGCTTAGTCAGACTCATTTTCTTTTACTTTCTTTCACTCTTTTAAATTATATTAGTATGTTACTATGACTTTCCTTAGTTCAGAATTCTAAGTTAAACTTGTCATGAGTTTATCATCTGAATGAATGAAGTACCACTTCCTTCACTATTTTAAGAAGTATATATTGCCCCACACACAAGATATTTCTTCAGAAATAATGTATTCTTTGACAGTAATTAAGGATAAAAGTGGCAAAGATGCTGGGCAGAATTCTCTCACTCTACAGTACATCTGAATTGAGAACACCAAAGGGCTATAGGATACTCAACTTCAAATGCCCAACTTTACTTTTAACTCAATATATAAAATTCTGGGATTGACAGGAGGTTCTACCATATAATACCTTTGTTAAGAGGCTTTGTGAACAGTTTCTAATTCTTTGGTGTGCCAAAGGTTTTTACTAATATAACAGTAGTAACAGTAAGTAACATCTATATAGTATTTCCTCTGTGCCAGGAATTGTTTCAACTGAGTACATATAAACTCCTCAAATGCTTGTATCAATCTATGAGGCCAGTATATTGTTACTTCTGTCCATTTTATAAATAGATAACTTAAGTAACTTTCCCAGGGTTGCAGAGGTAGAGATTGACAGAACTCTGGAACCAGCCTGGACTCCAGAGTCATGCAATTAACCATAATCCTGCAGTGCTATAAAATGATGAAAGGTAAACCTCTCTGGTCCAACATGGGAAAAGGGCAGTTATCAAAGAGGAGGTGATATTCTCAGGCAAAACAATTTTAGGAACATATAAAAGTTGAGAATCAAAAAAAAAGTTGAGTATATGAAAATTGATTCCTTTCAAAGTATAAGTGTTTTTGTATCATTTGAAATGTGGTTTTCTGAGAGCAGTACTTCTCAAGTTTGTTGCTAAAGGTGTAGGGGAAGTGGGCAGGGTAGGGGAAAGGAAATAAGGGAAAAGAAAAAAGATATGAGAATATTAAAAAATGGAAATAAAGTCTTTGTAAATAGGGAAGGGGGAGGAGGGGATGAATGGAGTGCAGGGGAGTGGGGAAAAGTGAGAACCAAGACCTGTCATGTAAAAGTACAAGATCCCAAAGATAAATGTAACTGTACAATATACCTAAAATGTACCAATAAACTCAATGAGAAAAAAAAAATTTAATATTTGCTATGTCTGGCCTCAGAATGTCTGTCTTTTAATAAATGTGCTTAATTTACAAAAAGTTTGTTGCTGTATTGGAGCAATTGTACATTTCCAATTTAAATTCTGTGTGTGTGTGTGTGTGTGTGTGTGTGTGTGTGTGTGTGTGTGTGTGTGTTGTGTGTGTGTTTGGTACTGGGATTGAACTCAGGACCATACAGCACCACTGAGCTAAATCCCCAGCCATCCAGTTTAAATTCTTAATTGTGGCTTCATTACTTTTTATGCATTGGTAATAAGGTTTCTCATAGTTTCAACTTAATTTTTCATGTTTTATAAAATTATTAACTGGTTCAGGACATTTCAGTCTGAATGGGGTAACTATCAAGTTAAATGGAGGAAAAATGATAAGTTGGGTACTGCCAATATCAAGAGAATTTTTGTTCTAATTATTATATTCTGTTAGGAAGCATATCATAGTTTGGCCTCTGAAAAACTTACATGACTGTTCTTAGTTATCTAAAAGAAAGCCTGGAGGCTTCATCAGCTCATTCAGATCCAGCTATGCTTGAGAGCTCCTCTAGTTTTATTCCTTAGATGTCTTTGTTCTCTGATTGAGAGTCCTGAGGAAGTTTTACTAGCATCTGATGAAAAATTGGTGCATTTTTAAAAATTTCAATATAATGCTATTCAAATGAAATGGTATAACTTAATTATAAATATGTGAGTCGTTTACATTTTAGTGTCACAGCATAACTTTCTTTTTCTATTGTATTTTTGTTTTTCTTTTATATAGTGTAGTAGAAATGATATATATTTTTTCCTACAAATCTTTATAACTTGTTAGAAAATATTTACTTCATTCAACTTCATTTACATATTGGCTTTCAAATTATTTTAAAATATGTCCTAAGAGAAACCTTATATATTTTATATATATGTATCTTTTGATTAGTAACCTGTACATTTTTATAGGGGTATGTTGCATCTTTTAAGACAAACTTAAAACTTTTTTTTTTCAGAACTATTATTGCTACAGATCTCTCCCTTTTATTTTTCCCTTCTCAAGGATCTGAAAATCCTTTCAAGAATGTGGGACATTTCAGTTAATTTAACTATTATTCATCTTATTCCAGATACTTAGAGAGTTAATATTAATCTTTTAAATTCAGAAGTGAAGTTATAATTTCTAAGGCCTTTTGCTTATTTAAGCTGAGAGATGTTTATTTACTTTTGTGTTAAGCTATGTCATGCTGCCCTGTTTAAATCACTTTGAGACTTAATTTTCTCTTGTATACCTGCCTCAGAGAATTTGGGAAGATGATATATGTAAAGTATTTAGTTTCTGGCCCATGGGAAAAAGTTTATTTAGGTGAGTCATCCGTGGGATTATTATTTAAGTGATTATAAAGCTGAAGCATCTAGGACAGTTCCTTGCTTACTATGTGCTTCATGATATCTTCTAGAATTATACATTTCTTTCTCAAATTTTATAGTTTCATCTGTTCACATACCTTTAAAAAAGGTATTCAGTCTTAATTGGTTCAGTGTCTGTGAACTAAATTATGACATATAGTGACTAAATTTTTTTAAATGATGTAGCTAATTATTTTTTTCTTTAGCTTCCAGAACAGTTGTAGCACAGCATGTTGCTCCACCTCCAGGAATAGTGGAAATAGATAGTGAGAAGTTTGCTTGTCAGTGGTAAGTGGTTTCTTTCTTTTAAGGGTTTATCCTTGGAAAAAATAAAGCAAAAGAAAAGAAAAAAGCAACATAAAAAAAGTATTCAACAGTCATTCAGAATGTTTTATTATATATTTCCTTTCAGTAAGAGTGTAGAATGTCATTTGTATGACGAAAGGACAACATAAAATTATTTCACCTATGTTTTATATACTTTGAAAGAAAAATATTCACTATAATTTTCAGAATTAAACTGGTCTGACTAAAATTTTATTAAGTCACACCTTTTTAAAACAATGTAGCAAAATTTTGTCTCATGTTATAGATAATGTTAGATTACAGAGTACTTCTAAAATTAATATTTTGTTACAACTGAATTGAACTAAGAAAATAAAAGTAGGTTTTTGTTAAATGTTTTCTATGTAAAGCAAAACTTCACATAGATAATTTTTCCATTTTGTGAGTATTCAAGGCAATTAATCACATGATAGTCAGTATATCTACCTTGAAATAGCAACTTGACAATAATATTTTCCCAGCCATATTAACTTATCATATCTCAGCCTCTCTCTGAAAAATGTAGAGTGGGACTTTTTTTTGCTTTTTCATGGATAGTTTCTTCTATATTATTTATGATATAATTTAAACTCTTTGCTTAGAAGATTACAGATTGTAGTATTAAGATCACTTCTAGAAATATCTTTTTTGGACCCATTTCTCCCATTCTCTAACATTTGTCTCCCATTCCATATTCCTGTCACTGTGTTCCCTGTTTTTGGTGCTTTCATATCTTTGTTTCTATGACAGATTTCTCCAGACTCTTTACTGTGTTTAGATCAATCTTATGGTTTAAAGCATCTTTAATTATTTACTTATCTCACCTTTTTTATTTTTACACATTAACCCTTCATACTTGATGAATCTCTTCTGATATTCAGAAAGGTTTGCCTTCTACATTGCAATCAGAACATAAGTCTTTCTTAAATCTCTGTACAGAAAGGATTTTGACAGTGAGAAAGACATGTAACAGGGCTGGGGATTTAGCTTAGTGGTGCCACCACCTGTGTTGTAAGCACAAGGTCCCAAGTTCCATCCCTGGTACCAAAAAAAAAAGAGAATGTGTAATAGCCACCATAAAATATTTATTTAGATTTGCCCTTTCAACCCTCGATTTTGTCATTTCTGGCACTTCTTCAGAGTAGGAAGAGAATTTATCATAATTTCTAATTGGTTAAGGTCACACTAAATGGCTAAGTTGGCCTTTTATGCATAGTGAGTTCTGGAGAAAGACTTATACGGATAACCATGCTCTTCTCAATCCTAATTTATTTTTTATTTTTTTATTTTTTGATACCAGGTATCGAACTCAGGTCCTTGTGCTTGGAAAGCAGGCAGCGGAACCACTGAGCTAAATTCCTGGCCGTCAATCCTAATTTATAGATAGAACTCACTTAGATTTTTAATTTTTCTTAGTACACATTTGGAATACATAGTGATTACATTCATTGTGGGGATTTGGCACATGTAATTCTTTTACATCCTGTTTTCCTAGAAATCACTTTGAGGGAAAGACAACTGAAGTTTGTATTAATTTGTAATGAATTAGCAAATAGAAACAAGCATTTTAACATGAGGAAATGGCAATGTACAACAGAGAGAGTATCATTGTAGGGAGTAGTTGAGAAGTTTTGTTAAAGTTTTTCTGAAGGAGTTTAATCCACGAACCAAGAAGTTTAACCTTAGTTCGGTTTTCCCACTATTTTCCTAAATTCCAATGTATATAACTCATAATTAGGAACTGGTTACATTTTGCTTATTATAGGAAACCAAGTAGATACTCACTAAATAAAACCGTTCCTTATAAAACATTTATCACCAGTAGACCAACCCTGCTCTTGCTGGGTTATGAACATAGTTTCCATATTAATTGTTGATATTTTCAGCACTACAATAAGTATGATTAAGTAGACAGTCTCTTTTTTGATTGACTCTGCCTAAAACACAACTTGTATTTTTGTTAGTAACATAATAAGTTAGTAAAACTTGATTAGTTAATGTAACTACTGATTTATAACACATTGCTTTCAAATAGTTTAGGTATATTTAAGTTTGGAATGTACTGTATAATATATTTATTTTTCTCCTCTTAGGCTAAATGCTCATTTTGAAGTAAATCCAGATTGTTCTGTCTCTCGAGCAGAAATGTATTCTGAATACCTCTCAACTTGTAGTAAATTAGCTCGTGGTGGAATCCTCACATCAACTGGATTTTATAAATGTCTTAGGTAGGGTGCAGTTCTTTAAATAAAATTCATTTCTTTGTTTTCTGTTAACTTTTATATTTCAAAGACTAGATGTTTTAAATTTTGAATAATTAATACTATATCTTCAGATATTAAGGCTTTTTAATAATGGTATTTTTAAATTAGTTATATTAGGAGGTGGCATCACTTAAAGCTCAGTGAGACTAAACCAGATGTGGTGCATACGTGTATTCCCAGCACTCTGGGAGGTTTAATCAAGATAACCACAAGTTCAAGGCCAGCCAGCACCACTTACTGGGAACTTGTCTCAAAGTTAAATAAATAAATAAATAAATAAATAAATAAATAAATAAATAAATAAAAAGGCCTGAAAATGTAGCTGTTTGGATAC